CTGGGATGTGGAAGAAGACGCTGCGCGATAGCGGAGCAGTAGACATAAGGCGAGAGGTATGGTATCTGGACTTGCGTGATCAGCTTTGTCAAAGCCCATGTTGAGGAATTGGAGCAGGCCTTGGCACACGGTTGTCATGAACTGCGTGGGGCGTAGAGCGTCGCTGTTGGGGTTGATGTGTTGGGGTTTGCCGCTGTCCGTTGACGATAGACGGAGCGTAGACTCTACGACGTTGAGTGGGGCATGTAGGATGAATGTGCTGAGACGAGCGAGGAAGGAAGCGGTGTAAGGCTGAGGCGGGACGAGGTAGTGTTCGACCATGTTGAAAGACGCTTGTGGAGTCATGTCGATCAGACGCGGGTATCTTGTTAGGAAAGGCTGCAAGTCACTACATGCTCATAGGAAAGAAAACGAGACTAGAATAAAACGCATTCCCTGAGGGCATACGCGAGTCGTGTTGTGAAAGCAGGGTCGTGAATCTGCACTATGGCAATATATACTATTGACTAAGGTATATCAGGCCTGCTGGCTGTGACAATGTTCTCACAACACACCTCGGCTCTGCGCTGTCTCAATGTCGCACGAGGGCGCGCTTGCAAGACACCTAATCATGATCAGATCCTAGTTATATTGTCACTACATCGAGTCTCGATATCCAGGAGTGCGTTCTATCTGTCAAAAGAAAACGTCATCCTGATCTTCAAGCAACATCTCCCAAACGATCTCGAACCTGCCCACAAACTCCTTGAAGTCAGCCTCATGTACCCACGTCCTAAAGTCCAGGTCCTTCAAGAACGCAATCTCAGCGCTCTGAAGGTCTGCATACTGTCTACCCATGACATCGGCCCACGCCTTCGGCGATACCCTACTGTCGCAAAGATTTCCATACGCAGTCTTGATGGCTGCAGCCAGCCTGAGACTCTCCTCGTGCGTCTGCGAGTGGCATACCCCATCGCGCGTCAAAACTCTGAACTTCAGAAGGAGGAAAAGCGCGCAAGGGATCACGTCCTTACTTACAGCCCATCTTTGACTTCCACTCCTTAGCCAGTTTGATACGCGCGCGCACGTTCTGGTCATCAGGTAGCCGGGCTCGATTCGTAGATCTGATGGGTTGATAAGGGCGAGGAGGGCTCTGAGATCGGCTTCAGTCGCGGCGGACATGATGTTGTATAGAAGATCCGGGGGTACACTGGTGATGAAGCCTGCGAGTTTGGTCAAGTCCTCGTCTAAGTAGTATTGTGTGATGTCTGCGGTGGGCACACTGCCTGGATTTGTACGCGGGGTATATGGAGGTGAGGTCCGCATGGTTGAGATTTCCTCAATGTTCTAGTGGCCCGTCGCTATGTGATCAGACTGTACTAGGCGACCTGAACTGGCTGGGAGAACTTGTTACGTGCGTTAAGCATTGACTGCCTTACTTTAGTATTCTAGAAAGCCCTTGTGCGATCTTAGGTCATTGTATACTGAACCCACTCACGAACATGCACAGTGCAACCTAGACTCTTCTTTCGTCGAACAAGACGACGATAGCCATTAGCAGAATGGTCAAGCCCGATACCTATGCCTTTCCTGCTCCTTGTCGCTCGATGTAGTCCCGTGAAGGACGTCTTCGAGTCCATTATTCACCGGGATCGCTCACCACCATGACATCGTTGGCGCATTGACGTTACTCTGTCGGGGTCTCACCTTGGCCTGCAAAGTGCTGGGTTGATGGATGGTTGTCGATGCGCCTTTTCTCGAAGATGGGTGAAAGAGCTGTCTGCTTCGGGCTAGATCTCCCGGGGCTCCGCAGCTTCTTTCCCCGCATGCTGCACCTGCCCGTCCTCCACTCCCCAATGGCTGTCCCGCTGCCACCTGCTTCCAACCTCCACGCCATCCTCCTCGTCACCAAGTCGCGGTCGCTCGGCCCCCGACTCGTCTTCCACTATCCACCGCTGTCACCTTCAGCAGCCGCACTCGCCGCCGCGAAAGATCCGGCTTGGTTTCGGCACGACACGTCAACAGCCAGCGTCGATTCGCGCAGCTCCGACAGCGAATGGGACAGCAGCACCGACTCGGACGACGACAATGACATCGAGATAGGCAGTCGCACCAGCGGCGGTCGCGCATCGGGGAGGACCCTGACCGGCCGCGTGAGCGACAAGTCCAAGCTGGGATCGGGGCTATGGGGCAAGCAGGAGACAATCGACGAGGAGGATGCCGACGACGACAATGACCAGGACGGTAATGGACATCGAGGCAAGGGCGGAGATCACGACTGGGATACCGTGCTGGGCTTCAAGATGGATGCGCTGGAGAAGATGCTGAGCCCGAGCAAAGAATACAACAAGAGGCGCTTCGAGCTTGGCGTTGAGAGCATCGTCTTTCTCGGCGCGCCCATGTTTGTAAGGGACGACGGGCTCTGGAAGAAGGCGAAGCGGAAGAAGAAGAAGCGCTCTGACCAGCAGAAGCTTGAGGACGGCGATCTGGTCAGGAATCTCACGAACGCAAGCGACGACGACGACGCGAATTCCCCCCAACCGTCGAATGAACCCGTCCCAGGATTCGAGCCAGGCTACGGCCACGACTCCATGTCGAGCGGACCGTCAGAGGCTGGATCAGATGCACGCAGCAACTCGACGAGCCTTGACATCAACAACCCAGACATGACCATGTTCAACGTCGTCTTCGTGCTGAACCCGCCTGCGCTGGAATACCAACAACGCGTCAAGGAGATGTACGAAAACGTTACGCGCAAGTACGCCAAAGCACTCAAATACGAGGAGGCGCGCTTCCAGTACGTATGGAAGGAATCCAAGCGCATCATCGACATCAAGCAGCGCGCCAAGGAGACGAACGAGTCTTTGACGGCGACATGGCGTAAGATTGTCAGCACATCACCGCTTGCCAAATCTATCGCTATAATGTTCGACGCGATATCGCACGACAAGATAGCCCATATTCACTTCGATGCGACGTTCAACACATCCTTTCAGATCCCACAAGCCGATTCCACTCCCTACCTCCCCACCGCCATCGAACCCCAGATGCCAGGCCTGTGGCTTACGACCTCGAACGTCATACTTGAAGACGATGATGCGCCTATGACACAGCATGCTGCCTTGCTGCTTTTGGAGGATGCCGAAGTGCTGATCAAAGACCTAGGCGGTGACACTGGTGGCAACGCCGCAGCCATCGCATTCTACATACGCAACATCATACCCACCAAGTCGCTGCTTAAGATATCGAAGAAACACAATATATCCGCGCACGATATGGAGTACATTGCAAGCCATCTTGTCTACTGGCGGCGGGCACGTCTCGTCGCTCCGCTATCACCACGCGACACGTACATCGTCAGTCCAAACGCCGACATGACTGTTCTCCCAGCTGCGATATCAGTATATGCGCAGCGCTTCCCCACTCTACCCACGCTGCCTAAAGTACTGAGCATGCTCTCCGGTACACCTCGGCCGTACAGGAACTTCATACCCACCGCCGAACATCGCGAAGCCTACATGGAGATTCTAGCGTGGCTCATGCGCGGCGGTTGGGTGACCCAGTTGCGCACATTCGCTTGGGTGCGCGTAACGCCGGAAATCAAAGCGCAAGTCGCAGCAGAGATGGAGCGCGAAGAGCGCATCAAGAAAGCTGAAGAGGCGCGCAGAGAGTTGATGAGCGACAACGATTCGGTGGCGGATAGTCTCCTCTCCGACAAGCGGAGCAGCTTGCTTTCGCTAAACTCTGCGAGGACTTCATCGCCCTTGCGCCGCACGCGCAGAGATGCGGACGAGGAGATGGAGAGCAGTACGATACTGAGCCCACGACTCGGATCAACCGCCATGTCGCGCAGCGTTTCTGCACGCACGAGTTCTGACGCCGGGAGTACGAGCAGTCAGCGCACGACGATTGCGCTTACGCCATCACAGAGAGCGGAGTCGCCATCTCATCTTGGGCTTCGGGATGTTAAGCCCCATCGCCCGTCGCCTCTACATCTCAAGCCAACCTCCCCATCTCCATCGCGCAACTCGATAGTCTCGCCCACATCTCCGGTAGAGAAGCTGGCCCCACCCGACCCATCGTCCTTCGCACCCACCACCATCCTATCTCCGCAAAAAGCATCGTCGATAGAAGCGCGGTGGCTCGATAAGATCGCTCAGACATTCGAAGAGACGGCGATCATCTCAACGAATCCCAGTCCGCCGAAACACGCAGATGGCGCGCTGGGTGGCATAACTGGTAAAGAACTGCGAGAGAGCTGGCCCATGCTGCTCAGGCATCTAGATGGTAAGCATGCGATCGAGGATGTGTCGGCTAGAGAGGGCATTAAGCGGAAGCGGGTCGCGGTGCTGTTCAATGCGGTCAAGGAGAGAGGCTGGCTGGTTATTGCGCGGCATTGGTGAGTCGGTGGATGATGTGGTGGTAATGCTTGATTCGATACCCGTGTTTTGGTTGGCTTTGAACCGTAGTTCTCTCAACCCACATCATTTCAGAGACAAGAGCCTACACACTAGGAGCCTACGTTGACCTGAGGCTGGCTACTTTGCGCGTTTTTATCTTGATGTAGGCTGCAGGCCACACTCAGTTCAAAGAAAGGAGTGGACACCCTGGCGACTACGTTGACGTTGGGTCATCTACTTTGCATGTTTTCAACTTGATGTAGGCTGCAGGCCTCTCTACCTTTTTGCTTGCACAATGCGAACCCTCTGGTTCTTTCGCGCAACATCATGCTCGCTTGAACCATAGTTATGGGATCCATATCCAGCGGTACTATAGGTACTTCCCGAAATCCCATGGTCGAGCCTCAAGTATTCCTCTTCGGTATTGATAATCCTCAATACTCAACCATGGCTTGACTTTTCGTGGGAACTTCTGCGCATGCCAATGCTTCATATATAACACATCCCTCCTCTATCTTCTCTCTTACATCTTACCATCTACGAAAGCAAAGTCTACTTCACAACAGCTTTCCGCACCACTTCTGAGTCAAACTACTACTACCAAACCAAACCACAACCAAAATGCGCGGCCTGTTCATCGCCTTCCCCTTGGCCCTAGCCTCCGTTGCCATCGCCGGCCCCATTTCGATCCCGACGTCTACGGCGCCGTCAACGCCTGACTTCACGGCGATGCCGCGCATGACCGCTGCCTCTGCCGCCGTCGCCGCTCCTCCTGCTCCCACTACCACCACCGCCGCCCCCATCGTCACCGCCCACACGACGCTCATAACCATGGCGTCTGACCTCGAGCCCCGCAAGCACAAGAACAACCACCACCAGCATGACAAGGACCACTACGGCTACGGCGGGTGCTCCGAGTACTGGGACGGGCGGTTGATTACGAATTGTCCGAGTGTTATTGCTACTACGTGAGTTCCGAAGCTAAACATAGTATCCTTCATCGAATTCAAAAGCTAACGAGACATGTGTAGACTTGACTACCATGGTACGCATCCGCTCATGACTCTGGAAGGTGGCAGGCCTGAATCCTGATTGCGAGGGCACGTATGGGGGGTATGAGAATTGGGAGGGGCGGCATGGGGGGAAGAAGACTATGGTGTGATGGGCTGCTTCTGTGAATCCCTATGGATGCCAGTCGGTACTGTACTAGATAACGGGGTATTTAGGGTTAGTTGCGAGGTTATTGGTTCTGTTGGGTTTCTGTATTCGCGTTATTTCAATTTGACTTCGCGATGTTGGTTGCTTCGCTTGATACTCACAACGATGTGTGTAATTGCTGATATTCCGTGACTGAACGCCACAATACGGCTCGTTGATACCCATCTTACGATGAGAGGCCGAGTATTCTATGCCTCCACGAGGTTCTCACTCGAAGTAAAAGTGCTGCCTGTCGGATACGACGATGTGATTGCATGCCACGGTCAGGCTACTCTTGACAATGTAGGACCTGCGCTCACCGATCGCGTGTTGGTTGGTCGCACAAAGATAACCCATCGCTACTAAACGCGATCAAGGTATGCGCGATGTCCTGCATGAATGAGCCGAACCAGCAAACATGTCGAGGGGAGGTTTAGGTGGAAGGAGAGTGAAGAAAACTACACCCGTGGTAGCCAGCGCCAAACTTCCCGACTCTTTCAAAACCAGTGTCCGTGACTGGCCCGCTCCAGCGCATCGTGCAGGAAGTTGCTCGATTATGAAATGCTGGAGTGCGATTCGCCGTGAACTGAAGTTTGGATACCCGGTACCAAGGAAACATCGGGCCACATTGTGAGATAAAATCTCTGTGTCTTCATGTCTTCGCTTTTCTGAAACACATACTCTCTTATAAAGTGTCTTCACGGCTGCATTTCATACCCAACCATATCAAGACCAAAACCAACAAGGCGTTTTCTCAACACCATGAAGCTCACCACCATCCTGGCTGCAGTCGCTGGCCTCTTCGCCGCTTCCGCTGTCGCACACGAGCAATGGGTCTACAACGACCACCGCAGGCCTCGTGCGCAAGGCGCAGTTCCGAAGTTAGGTATGTATCTTCTGCCGATAGCATGAGCTATCATCGCGGATCCGCAACCTATTATGCTAACCCCCCTCTCAATAGCAGACGACTACGTCCAAACAGCAGAGGACAAGTCTCTTTGCGCCCGCTGGGACGGACCCCGCTGCCTCGACGACGAGGAAGGCCCCAACATCTTCGACGAGGAAGAGCGTAAACGCCAGGAACTTCAAAGTCCCGAGGAGAAGCGAGAGGAGGCCCTCCGGGAGTTGGAGAAGATACAGAAGGTCTGGGAGGGATACCACGCGGAGATGCGGAATCTCAAGATGATGGAGAAAATCTACGACGGGTTCAATGCGCAGTTGGATCACCTTGAGAAGGTGGCAAAGCTTAAATTCGGCAAGAACGCAAAGACTTCTGAGTCTGAGGATGGCGATGAGGGGGCCGAGGAGATGTTGTAGATGGGGACGACTGAGAGGGTTGTGGTGGCTTGAGATACGCGCTGGGTATGTGTTGTTGGACGGGCCATCGAGCCAGATTGCGCACGCGTACAGGTTATCCTTCTGAGTATCGACGTAGACATGGCACATGGAAGCAGATCGAAATTGACCGTCGCACAACGAATTGAACTTGATCACGATAGTTTGGCTTCAGAATGCACAATCTCAAAGACCAAGCCCAACCTAGGACCAGACCGCAGTCTGAGTCAAAGGCGCACTCTATTCTTTCAGAATGCAAGTGTAGTGGAGAAGTCGTGATGTCGACCTGCCCTGCAGCGCGATGCGCAGGGCACGTCATCCCGAGGTTGCAGCACTGGCCACCGAACGAGGCCGATCGCGCTAACTTTATCCAACCCTCCCTCACTCCATCACAGTCACCACTACACTTCCCTACGACCACCGAGCCCGATTACTACGCCACGGACTCCCGATACCTATTCCATTGAACAATTCAGCAACTTCCCGACCGCTATGAGCAACTTTGGAGGCGCCGGACTTGGGCAAAAGGTCCAGAAGCCGAATCCGTGAGTTCTTCCCTCCATGCGCGCATGCATGTCTCGTTTCGACCCTTGGGTATTCCGACCACATGGCTGCCTCTTCCCATCTTGCAAATCCTCGTGCTAACAATTGTTTCACTTCAGGCCAGAGCGTGGCTCATTCCCTCTCGACCACGACGGTACGCTTCCCGAACTTTGACTTTTACTTCCGCATCATACCGTATCGGCGTAAGCATCTCGACGCCACGCCGCTATTGCTATCTATAAGCGCAAATCGCTTACACTAAATCCCAGGGGAATGCAAGGACATCATGCTCTCGTACCTCCGATGCATCAAGTCGCATCGTGGGACCAACGACCCTGAGTGCCGCGGCCTCTCCAAGTCATACCTCTCTTGTCGCATGGACCGGTACGTACCATTTCCCATATTACTTCGATTAGCCATTGCTGTACTGTCGTGCAAACATACTGCGCCGCCTATCTTCCCATTAGCTTTCCATGCCATTCTGTCGTTCCATTTCGGCAGCATCTGCGGAATCGCGCCCTTTCTTGTCGCTTTACCATTCTTTCCATATGATGAGCACATGGCTGACTGTTATCGCGGTATTAGAAATCTGATGGCTCCGGATTCGTTCAAGAACCTCGGCTTCGGTGAAGACAGTGACGGCCCTGTTACCACCGCCGCAAACGCATCTCAGCCATCGCAACCCAACGGCCAAAACAAACCTCGCGGAGCTTAGGATACTGAGTTGTTATTCGTGAAGGATGCGGTCCTCGTGGTCAGCCGCTCGGCAGCATCCGAAGAACGTGGCCTCACATAGACCCCTCGGAATACGTCTCCACTCTTCTTTCCGAAAATCTTCGACGTGCCAAATGACGCACATGCGCATGTGTGAGCACGCCCCAAGCGCGCCCTGCATCGAGACTGCAGATTCGACAGGTGACATTGAGAGTCTGCCCTGGACCAAACCGGCAAAGCATATAGTGAGACAAGGGGGATGATCGGATCGGCGGCATTGGCACCCATCTCCACGAAAGGCACAAATACAAGCAACTCGGATACAACAAGGAAAGCCCATGACAGCTTCGCAGATGCTGTAAACACCGAGGATACTGGTGATACCCGGGCGCGCCACAACAGATGCGATGAAAGACAAGGCAGTGCAGATAACACAGCAGACTTATCTGAATCACATCGTTCTTTGTAGAACCTCGATAAGATAGCGGCGCAAATACACCTTGTTCACCGCTACACATCCCCATCGATCACCATCCCTCGTCATCCTGCCGTCGTAACCGTCAGACCCGATCTTCAACCGAGACCTGCAAGTCATCCCCCGCGAACCTAGATCTAGGAAACGGCGTTGCGCTGCAGATCGGGGGGTGTAACCGTCGTACAGCCGGCTAGCTGACACTGCCGATGGAGGCACGATGACTTACTCAATACCCTTCTTCCCTGCTGAAATGTCCGGCTATCTGAACATGTGCGATGCGCATCTTTGGTAGCGCTATGAGCACTTTGTTTTAGCGCTACTGCTGTTTCTGTCGCTGAAACAGTGTGGTTGTGTCTACGGGGGGTTCGTGTTGTGACGTCGGTGGCAGATGGGCTTCTCACTTTCCTGGGGGAGGGGGTGAGAGACGGGCGAGTGCGGGTTTGGCGTTGCGCAAGGCACCGTGGACATTTTGCGACGAGAAAATACGCGCTGAATCAAAACGAAAAAGCGTTGGTCTCCTTTGCTCGACCTGATCCGCATGCATGCGCAGTGTTATGCCAGCTATACCGAACATGCGAACTAGCGACTACAACGGCATAACTGTGCATGCTATCATACTATAACGTACCTCGCTATTGAACTCTCATAACACAGCTATCCACACTAGCGTGCGTACGTACGCATGTTACACGACAGATGTCAGTACCGATCCCAACACCCCAAGCCCACCTGCCGACTCCCTTGTAATGTCACAACCAAAACCCCCTCAACACCGATCGTGCCTCCCATCCCCTCTCGTTGTTCCGAGAAACGATGGAGCAATGGCTATACCCCTTGTGGACGCAATGCCATTGTGTAGCAAGATTGCGACAAGGTCACCCTCGCCGGTTGATTCCATTCCATTCCATCCCAGGTCCTTGCTTCACCCCAGCTCAACCCCCGCAACGGCTTTTACATCTCCTTACAGCTCCCTTCGCCGCTCGCGTATACAGTACGGTTACCTGCACATTGCGCATAATCCATTCGCCATGGACACGGACCCCCTCGATTGGATGACACTGCATCGTGGGCGAAGGACGTGGTAAAGGCGTAGGCAGCTGATTGGCTGCGGGACCCGAGGCCGTTTTGCAGACCGATCGTAGCGTGCTTGGAAGGTAATGTAAGCATGGGGGGTGATCTGCCGGCAGGAATGGCGGGGACGCAGGACGGGGTATATGAAGGGGGGATATAGGTGTTTCGTGTCGGAACGGACTGCATGGCATGGGTATGGCTTTTGTGATGAGGGGATTGCGAGGGATGGTTTGGTTGGTGGGAAAGTCGGCCGGGATGTCTAACTATATTTCTCTTCGCTGTTTCTAGGAGTATAGGGTGGGATGCGTGGGTATGAGCGGCTGTGGAATGCGTGCATGGTGGACTTGCGTTTTCTACCAAACTACCTCGTCCGCATCAAACGTATGGGAATGCGCAATCAAAACCTCTCCCATCCCCGTCCAAGTTATCCCGACCCAACCAGCCAGCCAACCAGCCGACCAACCAAGCCAGGTCATTGTTTCTTCTTCTCGTCACCTGCATATACCACTCACAACCCATACACACCCATACATATCTGCATTCCCCATCCTCCACCGTTCACGACTCACCCCACCACCCGAAACAACCAAACACCCGGTCTCACCTTCGGAACGTTCTTCGGACATGGGCATGTGCTTGAAATTGCTTTTTGAATTTTTATCCCTTCGTTAGCCGTTGAGATGCGCGGCGGCTAGATTTGCTTTTTCCCTACTTTACCATAAGCCCTAGATGCGGTATTGTTGTACGAGATCCAGCGCTATGTACTATGGCGCCGACGCCACAGCTTAGCTGACCAAGTAGTTCGTGTATCACAATCTTGTCACGGTCTTTCAGATTGCGTCAAAGCGGCGGCAATGGCGATTCGCTCGTAATCTGGGAATTGTGAACGCTGTGAGGCTGAGACACGGGAGAGGCGTGGTAGAGCCGCAGGAATCCGGAATGTTGCTTTTGTGGACCTTTTCGTCCTCCACACTGGCTGCCTGGCGGGAGGACTGTGGCGGTCGCCTCCACCGCGGAACGGACAGGGAGGGGCGCGGCTCGACCAACTTCACCTCACTCGACAAGGCATGAGAGACGGGCTTATTGATGTAGATGAAATTGTATCTGGGACCAATCGGCCCCTACCAGAGCCCATGAACTGGAAGGCAGAACACGCAGAAGCAAGAATTCCCAGAAGGCCCATCGTAACCATAGCAAGCGTTATCCGAACGTCTTCTGCATCTATCATTCTCTTCCCACCAACATAAGTGCTGACACCATAGAACGCCAACAATCCGAAACGCGCCGACCATGCTTACATGTGCCTCTCATAAACAAAACCATCATTAAAGAAGACAAGAGTGGTGATGTGCAAAACTGCAGGTAAACAACCGTGACACGCCACATACATGCGAGAAAGATGTAAATAGATGAAGGAAAGCGAGTCGCAGAGCTGCCAGAAGGAGAGACCGCCGTGTACGGAGAGTGTCGAATACCGAAGCGGCGAAGACCTTCGTGCTCCGGTTGGTAGGCTAAGCTCGGGTGATGATGAGCGGGAAACCAGGGTGATGATGTGCCACGGAGGGGTAGAACATATTATGCAACGAAATGGGAAGTGCTTTGATGCAGGCGAGAGCTTCATCCGTCCTTGGCCAGCAGAGACGGTACGCGCGCGGGCGACGACATGCCGAGGAATGGTCGACCGGTGTGAGGTGTCTTTAGCCTCATTGTAGCAGCTCTAGCGTATGCATCAAGCAGGATGCAGGAACGGGTGCGGGGTATCGCGGGGTATCATAGTGAAGGAATCGACAACGAGACAAGAAGGCCGGAAGAACAGAGACAGCTAGTAGGCTTTGGATCAGTTCATGTCCATGCCGTACTCATCCTCCTCTTTGAGACTAGACCAGTACTGCTGCTGGTTCGATCCAGAACCGCTACCGGTACTCTGCATGCCTGGGCTAAGACTCTGTGGAGATGCGCCGCTGATGGGTTCACCGGCCAAGTTGGTGTGCTTGGGCACTCGGAGTCCGGAGCCAGGGCCTCGCGAGTATCGGAAGGTACCCGAGCCGTTCTTCTCAAGAGCCTCGAGGATCTCGGTCTTCATGCGCTTCTCGTCTTCAGTCTGTTCGGTGACCCATTCTTCGCCAGTGGCTTGTTGAAGTCGTGCAGCTAGCTCGTCACACTCTTGAAGCTTCTTGGACAGCATCCACATAAGATCGCGAGTCCAGCTGACAGCACCGTTGAGGATGTCACCCTTGTTCGGGCCCTTGTCCTTCTCCTCGATGGGCAGTCCCTGTGTAATGTTACCAGCGGCCCGCCTTCCATTGCCACCAGCGAGAAGTGACGTTGCTTGTGGAGGCGACATGCCGGTGGCGCCCATGGTAGGTGACAAGGGGCCATTGTTGTTGATGTGCTTGCGGATCTTCTCGTCCTCGAGGCGATGCTGAGGTACAAGGCGAGACAAGTCGTGAATGCGCTCGTTGATGTTGTCCCGTCGGCGACGCTCGACCAAGTTATGAGACTCCCGACGCCGGCGCTTCTTGGCGTCTGCGTTCTGGCCAATATCGACCTTGGCAGGTAGTGAGTTGTGCTTGCCGGAATGCAGGACATCGGTGATCTGCTGGTGGTGCATGGTACCCTGGTGGGGCGACGCGGTGGGCGAGTCGATCCATGAGTGCGCACTTCCGGGAGTGCCGTCCCACTGGCCAGACACGCTCTTTTGATGGCGGTGCATGTTGGTCATGATTGGCTGAGTGAAGTTGCCAGAGTCTGGCGTGCCGAGGTGGAGACCAGCCATGGCAGGGGTCTTTGGTGACATGGGAGCACGGCTGTCAGAACCAGTCCGGCTCATGGTGATACGCTGGCGCATGGATCCACTGGGCATGCTGCCAGGGAAGTTCATCCTCTGTGGTACTGATTGGTACTGGTTGAAGTCGAAGTTGCCAGGGTGGTTGAAAGGGCTGTGGATGGGCAGGTCGTCTGGGGTGTTTGAGTAGACCTGGTTCATGTTTGGGTTGTTGGTGTGACTGTGGTAGTAGTCTTGCTGGCCAGCCTGCTCTTGGGCAAAGTTGTTGAAGGCTGGTTGTTGTTCGAAAGTGCCAAGTGACTCGGCAAGTTCGTCGTCGGCGATACCTGCTCCGCCCTGCATGTAGCTGTTGCCGGCGAAGTGGTTACCCATCATGCTCCCGCTCATGTTGAGCTCAGAGGGGTTGATGCCATTGGCATTCTCGTGCCCAGCGAACTGAGCGTTAGCGTATTGGTGGTTCATGTCAAGGCCATTGTGACCGAGAAAGCGTTGGTTGAAAGACATCTCGTCGACTTCTTCTTTGATGTATGGTTGAGGTGATCCTGTGCCAGTCATGTTGAAGATATCAGCGTCTAGCACGTCGTCAGAGGGAGAGTCGAAGCCAAGGTCCAGCCTCGCAATCGGCTTTTGAGGAGAGTAGGAAGAGGGAGGAGTGAAGAGAGCGTCCGCT